TTCGGGCTCTGATGCAGGCAAGTATAGGAGGACTGTGGTCTACTGATGGTTGCTTCCTTCTCCCCCCACCCCCTCCCCTCCCCTGTAGAAATTAGAAGTCAGGGAATCAATTTGATAAAATATGACGAAATTATATGATGATTGAAGATAATATTATGCTTGCAGATTTAATTGCAAATTAGCTACTCCCTTTATAATTTACGCATGCAAAGTTGTCCCATTTTTACTGACGGTTATTGTTACATGAGTTCGCAGGAAAGTTTGGATTCAAGAAAATTGGAATTACGGGGAAGACCTACGCTAAACATGACAATACCAATGAATGTCTTTGAGGGCCCGACCAAGGACCATCGCGGGGTTGAGGGAGAGAGTGGTGATGAGACATTGGATGAAGCGACTGGAGGAAGTAAAGAGGTTCCAGTGAAGGTTCTCGTGAAGCGAGGTAATAAGCAACAGACAAAGAAAATGCTCATTCCTCGTGATTGCTCCCTCATTCAGAGCACAAAACAGAAAGAAGCAGCTGAACTTGAAGAAAAGCAAGACATCAAGAGGCTGGTTCTGGAGTACAATGATAGAGAGGAGGAAGAGCTAAATGGGTTAGGGAACCAGCCATCAAGCTGGACTCAAAGCAGTGGGAGTAGGGTTGCTCATAGGGGCAGCACATGGGATGCACCTGGTAGGGGTAGTGGCTCGCGTCATCGCTATCTGCATCATTCAGGTGGTGGCCTTTATTATGGCAGGAGAAGATGAATTCAAGCTCATGTTGCAGTATGCAATGACTTTTGAAGCTCTATCACGTACATATTTGTTTTTGGAAATGGAAAAAAGGCTCCATGCCAATTGAAGGTGATGGTTTCTGTTGGACTGGTATTAGCAGTCCGAATTGCATCCTGAAAATCGTATTACGTAGGAGAGATCTATGAATGCAGATGGTATGTATATCAGTTGGTGCCGCCTCTTCCAGTGTGTCGAGATTCTAACTTAGCAAATGACTTGCTATACGTGAATATTCTGTGAGTATAGTAAAATAGCCAAAGTATGTATAGGCAGAGGAAAACATTTCATGCCTAGTTTCACTTGAAAATTGCCTTAATTATGGAGCTTGACTGGCTTGTATTTTGTTGATTAATGGCTAGTTCATCTCTGAATAGTTGTGTCTAGGGGACTTTAACATTTTACATTTCTCCCATTTTGTTTTGTTTTTTTCAAAAAAAAAGAAAAAGGAATCAGTTGCTTCTCTACATAGCTAACTGGTTTTTAATTGATATGTGGTTCAATTAGCTTATTTGACCTAAATGGCTTAGATTTCAAAGGACCTGCTGCTCTAGTCAAAGCCACGTACAAGTACTTGGACCTGTATCACTAACAGTTTATTAAGTCACTTTTTGACATTTATTTAGGGAGTCATATTTGGTAAGAATTCTAATCATATACAGTAACCATGAGTTGTGGGATTATTTTCCTTTTTATAACCTAAATTACCCTCAATAATAAAGTTAAGATTGTATATAGGGATAAGATATGATATATTCCTCAACTTTGTCATATAGAGCTGATATACTTCGTGGCTCATATATATTACTACTTATAACAAATGACTCATATTTACTCTTTTTCTCAAACGGAAATGAAAAAATATATTAATTTTAATCTAACTTTTTAATATTTTTTTCTAAAAATATAATCTCATATGAGTAAACTGAATCCTCATCAAACATATTTTTTTAAAATTTTTGCTTACAATGACTAATTTAGAATTATTATTTTGATAATCAAATTTATTTATGTTTCACTAGATATATATATCCTCTGTTTGAGTTTGGCTCATCTGTGCCCTCTCCGCCTAACTTTTAGCCTATATATGTCCTTATAGAAGTTAGTTGTTTTTCTGGAAATAACCAATTCATTTTTCTTTTATTTAAATAACAAATGAAATTGCCACATCCCCTTTTAATCACCACATGTCATTTATTTAAATTAAAAAATAAATACACCTCTTTTAAATACAGTATCCGTCCTGTTAATCCTATTTGACTCAAATTTCTTTGATGGATTTTTCACATAAGCCGGTAAATCATATTTGACCCAAATCCCTTTGGTTGGAGAAATGTCATCTCCAAACAAACCCATCGCTTTCTCTTAAAAGAAAACATCATTAAAGGTGAGCTTCGAGTTCTAACCATGAGCAAAAATAGAGCTCCAATGAACTCATTGATTCACACAACCTTGGACAAATAGCTGCCAAATAGCTCCAACCACCACGAGCTCCAAAACACCACCCCCAAAGTAGCCGGCAAAATACCAACCCACACACCCCACTGGTCTAGCAAGACAACTCGCAAACGACCCCAAAGTAGTTGTATTTCAGATGTCAAATGTTATCTCATTTTAGATTTGGTCAGAGGAATTGAAACTCCGACCACTTTGGGTTAGATATGATTTATAGATCGGATATCCTATTTAAAAGAGGTGTATTTTATTTTTTAAATATAAATAAATGTCAGATGGTAATTAAAAGGGGATGTGACAATTTCATTTGTTATTTAAAGAAAAGAAAAATGAGTTGGTTATTTTCAGCAAAGCAACTCACGTCAACAAGGGCATATAGGGGCAAAAAATTGAACGGTGAGCGCACAGATGAACCAAACTTCATACAGATGGTACATCTAGACATTTTTCGCATAGTTTAGGGGCACATATGACCCTTTTCCCTATTTATAATACCGATCTTTTTGTCAAACATACATTTCATGATGTTCATAGAAATTATGTACTTTTAATTTTTATGATTAATTTAATTAAATTATACTAAATTGAAAATTATAAATCAATTTTTTATAATATTAATTAATATATTTTCAAGAGACGATATATTTATATCTTAAATATTTAATTTAGTATCATTTATAAAAACTTTTATTTGTCTAATATAATTTTTTAATTTTAAATAAGTAGTTTTTATTTTTAAAATTCAATATAGTCTTATGATTACACTTGTGCAACAAAACAGTACACCTGTAATTATCCTATAATTACATTGTGACGTAATTATCCTATAATTACATTGTGACAAACAAACATGTCACCATAATTACTAGATCGTGTAAGATTCGATAGAGAATGTATTATTAGCAAAAGTAAAGAAAATATTAGGCATGGTTCAGAATTTGAGACCTCTTGAAGAACACTGTCATTTGCCCTGCAGTAACCCCATTTGACAACAATAAGGAGAATTCATAATAGTATCAAAGTGATTTTTTCAAATCATTTTTATATTTGATTCAAGAGTCAAATGTTTTCTAAGATTTGAGGAAGAGACAAACTACTTGATTTTTAGTGTAAGGATAAATTGTCTTTGCTTGTAACTTGTTTCTTGCAAAATCGATCAAATTCACCCTCCTAATTTGTAGTTAGTCAATTAGAATTTAGGGTATCAAATTTTTTTTGTTTGGACAATTTAATTTTAGGTCTATTGAATCTAATGATAAAAACTGAATCCAATTACACAAGTAGGGTTGAATTATAGAAGAAGAATGAATCTCAATTTCATATCAATCAAGTACAATACATTGTATTACTCTCTACATATATATACATGTACAAAGTGACTTATGTACAAGAAAATCATCTTCTAGAATCTTCTCTATATCCTAACTAACTATCATATTAACTTAATTAAGTATCAACTAACTATCACATGTAAACTAATCAAGTTATATTTACAATCTCTTTGTTATAATCCTAGCTTGGAAATAACATTAAAATGTTGATGTTTGCTTAGACCTTTAGTTAGAATATCAGCTGGTTGTTCAAATGAGCATAAATAGTGTAAGACCACAAGACCTTTTGACACCTTTTCTCTAATAAAATGACAGTCAATGTCGATATGTTTTGTTCTCTCATGGAACACTGGATTAGCAACAATCTGAATAGCTGCTTTGCTATCACAATGCAATGGAACAGGTAACACCAATGGTACATCCAGTGTTTTGAACAAACCAATAATCCAAGTAATCTCTGCAACAGTGGAGGCCAGACTCCTATACTCTGCTTCAGCAGAGCTTCTGGAAATAGTAGACTGCTTCTTAGATTTCCATGATATTGGAAAATCTCCATACTTGATTAGGTAACCAGTAATTGATCTTCTAGAATTAACACATGATCCCCAATCAGCATCACAATATGCCTGAAGAGACTCTGTGGATTGTGTTGTCAATAATATCCCAAATCCTGGTGATTGCTTAACATATTTCACACTCTGATGGCAGCATTCATATGAGAAACTTTAGGAGCCTGCATGAATTGGCTGAGACTTTGAACCGCATAAGATATATCTGGTCTGGTGAGAGTAAGATATAGTAATCTCCCAACTTATCTATGATATTCACCAGGATCTAATAAAAGTGAATCAGATTTATCTCCGACTAAATCATCAAACTCAAGTGTAGTAAGTTTCAGATTTAACTATGCAGGTGTAGACATAGGTTTAGAACTCCCTAACCCCAAATCTGAAATCAATTCTAATGCATATTTCCTTTGGTGCATCAATATTCCTTCTAAATTTCTGGCAAATTCAATACCTAGAAAAAATCTAAGATCTCCTAGATCTTTTATTCTAAAATGATCCTTTAGAACCTGCTTGGTCTCTTCTATCATTTGAAAACTACTTCCTATCACAAGCAGGTCATCCACGTATATAAGAACAACTACAATGTCATCTCCAACTTTCTTGGTCATGAGGGAATAATCAAGATGACTTTGTTGGAAACCTGCTTCAATCAAGACATTCGTCAGCTTAGCTTCCATTGTCTTGAGGCTTGCTTAAGCCCATAAAGTGACTTAATCAGTTTGCATACCAAACCTTGACGTTTCCTTTTCTCGTCAGATTGAAATCCCTGAGGTAATTGCATATATACTTCTTCCATCAGATCTCCTTGTAGAAAAGCATTATAAACAATCCATTTGTTTAACATTCCATCCTTTTGTTGCTGCTACAGATAACACTTTTCTCATTGTCACCATTTTAACAACAGGTGAGAAAGTTTCATGGTAATCTAATCCTTCTTTTTTATTATAACCCTTAGCTACCAAAGCTACCAATCTAGCCTTAAACCTCTCAACTTGTCCATCAGCTTTGTACTTGATCTTATACACCCATTTGCAACCAATGGCCTTTTTACCAATAGGTAATTCAACAAGTTCCCATGTCTTATTATCTTCAAGTGACTTAATCTCCTATTTCATAGCCTGATGATAAGTACTTGGTTCTTTCTCCATTGAAGAGTTGACAATATAACATCGATATGACATTGAAAAACCACTATAATCAATTTTATCTGAGATAGAGTACAAGCAATTTGATTGTTTAGATTTCCCTATTTTTGTTAGGACAAAGTCCTGCTGCCATAATAGAGCCTTGCTTGATCTGCTGGACCTCCTTTGTGTCATTATAACATGATGATCCATGTGAGTTCCTCCTCCTCCTGGCACATTACAAGTGGGAGCAATCTCTACTACAGGCAAAAGAACTGTGTAATCTTCAGTGTCATTGGCATTCATAGAAATTTCTGCTTGGCTATCTTCCATAGATGAAGGTGCAAACTCTAATTCTAGGTCATCATTTATATGACTTGAAAGAATAGTACCAGTATCATGCAAAACATCTGTAGAGTGAGACTGAAAAGGAAAAATATTTTCAGTACAGATCAAATCTCGACTGATGAAAAAAATATGATGTTCAAGATCATACAATTTGTAGCCTTTCTGCGTAGTTTCATATCCCATCAAGACAGATTTAGTTTCTCTTGGACCAAACTTATCTATCTTTTGTGTATTTGTAGCATAACATAGACACCCCATGATTCTCATGTATGATATATTAGGTTGTTTTCCAAATAGCACCTCAAAAGGAGATACATTATGCAAAACAGATAAAGGCATTATATTGATAATGTGCACAGCTGTTGATATGCACTCTCCCCAAAATCTAATGGTATATGTCCTTGGAATCGGATTGCTCTAGCCGTTTCCAAGATGTGTCTATGTTTTCTTTCCACCACACCATTTTGTTGAGGTGTGTGTGGACAAGAACTCTGATGTATAATTCCATGATTAGTGAACAATCAGCACATTGAGAATTGAAGAACTCCCCTCCATTATCTGATCTCACATCCTTAATTTGTACATCAAACTGAGTTTTAACCATCAAAATAATTTTTTTGAAATATAGTGGAAACATTTGATTTGAGATGAAGTAAAAATACCCAAGTCCATCTGGGATGATCACCAACTAATGTAAGAAAAAATCTTATGTTAGTATGTGTAGAAACTTTATAAGGTTATACATCCATGTGAATTAGATCAAAACATCTAGTACTTCTATTGCTACTAGCATGAAAGAGAAGTCTAATTTGTCTTGCTAATGGACATACATCACAATGACTCATGACAGAACTCCTATTGAGCTTAAGCATACTGATTTTTCTGATCACATTCAAAGGCACATGGCCTAATCTCTGATGCCACAATACTTCATCCTCACATCCTCTTGCTGCAACAAATGACCTTGATTTATGTGAAAATCGATCTTGATTCTTCAACATGTACAATCCATCTTCCTCTTCACCAATCTCCTTCACTTTCCCAGTGAAGAGATCCTGAATGAAGAAGAAATCGGGATAAAATACAGCACAACAATACAATTCCATAGTCAATTTGGACACTGATAAGAGATTGAACTTAAAATCAGGCGCACATAAAACATCTTTTATAACATCACCTCCTTTAAGTTAACTGCCTGAATTGGTAATGAGTGTTGTGTCACTATTTTATAGCTAATTGAACCCTTCTTGGATTATTCACTAAGGATCCAGGTTTCAATAAGGTAAGATCTCTAACCATGTGATTAGATGCTCCACTATCCGCTGTCCAATCTGAAGAACAATTAACTGCAATATTACAAAGAGAAGTACTTGCAAATGTACTTGCCATATTTGCATTGACCTCATTCATGTTGTGTTTGTTCAGCATTTGTAATATTTGATTATATTGATTTGGCGTAAGTAAGAAACATGTCCAACTCCTCCACTTACGCTTAGTCCAAATTGAGGCTGATGATTGTATGATTCAACTCCAGTTCTCTATTGCCCTTGCATTTGTGAAAACCCTTCTGCTTATGTTCCACTTGAAGCTTGTACAATATTAACCCTTTTCTTTCCTTTCCATTCCGAAGGATATCCAATTAACTGAAAACATATATTCTTTGTATTACCCTGTATATTACAATGAGTATAGTGTTTTAACTTGTTACAATCCTCTCTAATATGTCCTTTCATCTCACAATGATAAAATAAGAATCACCTCCTCTTTGTTGACGACTAGATCCATAACCTCTACCTCCTCTTCCTCTAGAACCTGATCCTCCAAATTGATAACCACCTGATTTATTTGTCAATAATGCAGTAGGATTAGTGATGCCTCCACCAGAATATTCACCAGTTAGTGCACATTGAATCTCATCTTGTACAATCATGGCATAACATTAATTAACACTGGGTGAGGGATTTAGCATAAGTATCTGACTTCTAGCTTGTGCATATCTTTCATTCAAACCGATGAAAAATTGCAATAACTTTTGCCTACCCATATTATCAGAATAATCCTTCGATCTAACACATTCGCATGATGGAGGATGAACTATTGAATTGAATTCATCCCAAAGATCTTTCAGTTTTGAATAATAGACTGAAACAGGGGAAATACCTTGAGCATGTGTAACTATGGCTTTGTGAAGATGAAAAGTTCTGGACATATTGACTTTATCAAATCGTTCCTGCAGATCCAACAAAACTTGAGCTGCATTTGATCGAAAAAGAATTCCACTGACCAAATCCTTGCTAACATTGCTCATAATCCATGACAGGACCATTGCATTACATTTGTCCCATTGCTTCTTCTCAATTTCAGTCGTGAAACCATCTCTTTTGATGCTGCCGTCGATGAATCCTGATTTGTTCTTCGTGAGAAAATTCAATTGCATCGTCGACTCCATAACATATAATTCTCCACTCCAGTAAGTTGTATCCCAATTTGCACTGCCCCTGGTACATCGGAAGAACCCAGAACAAAGGATGATCATGATCTATCTTCTTCGCCATTGATCATCAACTTTAAGCTACAAAAATGAACGTAGAAGAACGATTCTCAATTTCTAAGCTCTCATACCATGATAAAAAAATTGAATCCAATTACACAATCAGAATTTGAATTATATAAGAAGAATGAATCTCAATTTCATATCCATCAAGTACAATACATTGTATTACTCGCTACATATGTATACATGTACTAATTGACTTATTTACAAGAAAACTATCTTCTAGAATCTTCTCAATATCCTAACTAACTATCATATCAACTTAACTAACTATCAACTAACTATCACATGTAAACTAATCAAGTTAATTATTTACAATCTCTTTGTTATAATCTCTAATATCTATTATTATGTATTGGTGTGAGACATGTAAAAACTTTTGTTATGTTAGAAGAGTCTTCACTTAATTTATATGATGAAAATCTATTGTAATACACCTCTTTAACCACATGAATTGAGAAAGAAAGAACATATGACATCCATAATCTCCCTATGTTTAAATTTTCAAAATCAACAAACATGAATCTACATATTTCTTTCCAAATCTGCATGTCAAAATTAGTTACGATTCCAAATATGCATGTAAAAATATAGTAAGAATTCTAAACATGAAAAGAGAAGGCATGTTGATGCAAAGAAACTCAGAGGAATAAGAAAAATTTACCAAAAGAGAAAATGATAGTCAAACAAAATGCAGTGAGCCTCAAAAGAGAGAGAATTAGAGTGAAACCGATTGAACATTGTAGACAATTATCGTGTATCTAAAATTTTGAAGCACGTGTAGTCCACCTGTTGATCCAACAACAAATAGGCCAAACATATTATATAATTCATGATGTCTTCTGTACAATTTAATAGTGTAGTGTTTGTACACTTCAACTCTCACTTCTAATAAGGAGGATATATATATATACACACTAAATTTTTCACATGTACATTGCACATGATTACAAATTTCAAAAATATATGTTATAGTAAATAGTATTACTTATTTAAGTGTAGATTTGAATAAGAAGTTTAGCAAAAAATAATATTGCAGATTTTTCAACGTGGATCGTTATATATGTATTTTATTTACGTAAACCTATGAAGATGGTCAATGAAAAATTTTATTAGTTAAATGTAATAATGTATCGATTTATTTTAATTTGATGAGGTTCAATCATGTAATTAGCTTTACCTCACTAATATTACCTTATAGACACTATTTGCTTTGTACTTTTCTTGTCATCTAGCCAGATGTGTTTAACATGTGTATTCAACGTTAAATTATTTAGATGTCATATGAACACGTGAAAAAGACAACTACATTTTATATATTCACATATTTCACAATTGTTGTAAAAACTTTTTTTAAAAAGAAAAACTCAAAACATTTTAAAATAATATATTTTGAAGTTAAAAAGATCTTGTTAATTAACTTGATAATACATTTGTAACATATATAATACTTAATTTAAATACAATTACCTACCCAAATATAAATACATATGTGCATTAATGAAAATATATATCTCATAAAATTAACGATTAAATATATAATATAAATTAAACTAATATAAACTTCAACTAGAGGTACTACAAGTCATATGAACTTTTCTTCGTCTAAAATACTGAAATATCAAAAAATAGTAAATAACTAAAACAAAAGGGCAAAATATATAGTAATAACTAGGGGTGTACAAATCGAATCATTAACTCAAACCGAACAGACGAACCAAATCAAACCAAAAAAAAAAAATCGACTTGTGATTTGGTTTGATTGGTTTAGCAATTGAAAAAAAATTGACCATTCTTGATTTGGTTTGGTATTAAAAAAAAGAATCGAACCGGACTCAAACCAAATCGACACACTTATATATGCATAATTTATTTTATTTATAGATAAAAATATTATTTACATATAATCTACTTTGGTGATATATTTTTAGCTAGTTTATGATTTTCAATTTTATAGATTTTATTTAAAATTTTGTATGTATACATATATATAATTTATTTTCTTTATAGCTAAAAATATTATTTATAATGCACTTTTCTAATATATTTTTAGTTAGTTTATTTTTTGTGTGTGTGTGTGTGTGTGTGTGTGTGTGTGTGTGTGTGTGTGTGTGTGTGTGTGTGTGTGTGTGTGTGTGTGTGTGTGTGTGTGTGTGTGTGTGTGTGTGTGTGTGTGTGTGTGTGTGTGTGTGTGTGTGTGTGTG